GTATGACAGTATCGTGTCCTTTGACAAGTTGGAATTCCTCAGGGAACAAAAGATAATTAGGATGACTGAAGGAGGTCCATCACCGGAACCTAGCTATACAAATTAACATAAGGCCATTTGCTTGTTCCTCCATCATTCACAGTACATTTCAAAGAGAGATGCATACTGAGATATCCCATGTTTACTATTCATTTACATGGTAGGATGTTCTTTTGACCTCTGAATGATCAGAATACAGCATAGACAGGGACTGTGGATTAAACTGTCCACCCTACTTGTACATATGTAAATACACAAACATTATCTCCCCACGTGTCTTCTGTGGGTTATTTATTTTGCAGTATGTTTAACCCTTTCTAGCCATGCATCACATCTTCAGTGTTGAGTGCAACTGGTCAGCTGACCAGGCCAACTACATGCTCCAGACGTTCTCCTGCCTGGAGTAGACAGGAGATATTGGATCTCCTGGGCCTGTGGGGAGAAGAGATTGTGCAGGCACAACTCAGAACCTCCCATATAAATGTCACCATCTATGAGCAGATTGCTCAGGGGATGTAGGAGGAGTATGACAGAGACAAGCAACGTGCTGCATGAAAGTCGAGGAGCTGCAGAAGGCCAGGGAGGCCAACAATAAATCGGGTGCTGAGCTGCAGACCTGCCACTGTTACAAAGAGTTGCATGCCATGCTGTGGAGATATTCCTGGCCCCACCCTCCAGCACCAGGGATATCTAAAAGGAGGCAAAGTCACAGGCACCTGCCATGAACAGTAAGAATGAGGAGGTACTGGATGATGAGGAGTATGGGAGACAGGTGACTGGGGAATCCAGCTGCACTGTGAGCCAGGACCTGTTTTTGACTCCACTGCAGTCCACTCTGTCCCACCACTTGAGCACGAGTGAGTCCAATCCAAGGGAAGGAACCTTGGGTAAGTATGCAGATAAATGTTCAGTTTCAGGGATGGCACCCCCAAAGTAGCAGGACACATCTTTTGACTCTTCATTAATTTATTCATGCTAAAAGAGTGTGAGAGAACCAAGAGAGGTAGAGTTGCTACCTGTTTTCATTCCCCTCTAGAGTTAGGCAGTGCTGGCGGGGGTGGGATGGGGGGGCGCATGAGGAGCAGTTTGTTTATGTACACAGGGGAATCCCTTGAATCCTCCTAAGCAACATCAATGAAACTTTCCTGGAGGTACTCTAATCCTCTGCTGAAGGTTTTTAGGGAGGGCTGCCTTATTTCTTCCTCTGCGATAGGACACTTTCCCACGCCACTTAGTGATAACTTCAGCAGGCACCATTGCAGTGCACAGGCTAGCACCATATGAGCCCAGGCGGCTTCAGGATGCCAGCAGTGGCTGTGCTCTCTCTGCTTTTGTTACCCTCAGGAATGAGATAGCAGCTAAAATCACCACTGCCTGTAGAAAACAGTGCCAGTATTCAGTGCCATTCCCTCCTCATTTCTCCAACTGCCTGCAGGCCATACTCACCATGACTGGTGCTGTGACTGGCATCGTGCACAAGCAATCTCAAGCAGAAGTGAGAATTTCGTGCTTAAAACTTTAGGGGAGCAAAAGTTTGAACTACCTTGAAAGAGGATGGATCTAGACTGTTCTCAGTGGTAGCAGATGACAGAACGAGGAGTAATGGTCTCAAGTTGCAGTGGGGGAGGTTTAACAGGGCTTCTCCGGCAGCAAACACAGATGCTGCAGACTCTGGTGGACCTACAGGTTCAACAGTCCCAGGCTCACCTTCCTCTGCAGCCCATTGAGAACTCAATATCAGAACCTCCCTCTACCCCACTCAACATTCCAAGTGGCATCAGGGGTTGCTGAAATACCCCTAACACCACCCCCGGAGACATTAAAGATAATCACAGCTTCACATACACTGACTTGTGAAAGCCACGGTTGGTGTGTGTGTCAATGAAATGGACATGAATGTTCTTTTCCCTTCATAAGTTCTGTTCTCTTAATTTATTAAGTTTTACATGTATTTGTTTTAAGATTGCAAGGGGTTCTTTTTTGCACTGCTTTTTGTTACAGAATAAAATTCTATTACGTGGAACATAATTCATCTTTATTAGTTCACAACATACACTGCCGAGAGCTCAGCAGTTCCAAAAGCAACCAATTACCTGTTACAGCACAGTGACACACAACTCATAGGTTCATTCACAAACACAATAGGTATACTGGCAATGTTATATTCCCACATATACAACAATCACCACACGATTCCTACCAGGCCACAAAAGAGAGTATAGCACACCACACACTACTCTCACTCACTGTTAAAATGGTCTTTCAAAGCCCCTCTGAGCTGTATAGCTCCTCATTGGGCTCTTCTAATAGACCTTGTTCCTGGCTGTTCAAATTCAGCAGACAGTCACTCCACCTCCATCC